ATGGTTTCAACATTGTATTCTTTAAAATCTAAATAACTTTCTAAAGCCTTTCCACTTTGGTACTTATCTTTGTTTCTGCACAGCTTTTATATTTTTTAATGCTTTATAAATAATTAAACCATCCACCTCCCTAATTAGTTCTTTTGGTGTTTTAGTTCTACCGAAACCTCTCTTTCCTACTTATCACTATCTCTAGATCCAGGAGTAAAGGAATAATTTCCTTGGCATTTGAAGGTTGGAAGCTTTTGTTTCCCTTACAATTGACATTTATAATTCTCAGATGTTTATGCATTGGAGGTGTGGTCATGGAACCTAAACGACTTGAGTTTCGTCGTGACTTTAAGCAACTTCTTTGTCTGATGTTTGTAGAAGGTGAGTTTTGATTGTGTTTTGTGTCTGAATCTTATCAATCATGTGTTCTGGAAAATAACACAAGATGAGAAATGGAGTAATTGAGGATGTATAGATATAAACTAAAAGTTTCTTCTGCTTTATTGCCATTGTCATGGTTAAATCGTATTCTACACAAAATTTCTTTCCTTCATTGCTTTCTTTATGTGAGAAATTTAAGGCGTTGAAGTTCCTATTTTGGAAGAAATCTTCAGACAAACGCTTTAGCTACCAGAAATACAGTGTCCTTTTTTCTTTTCTTTTCCTTGTCTTTCTTCAGTTTGTCTTCTTTATCTTTCATATACCTAGCCTTTTGGATAGGTCATTATGGATTACACCTTGTAAAATGTAAATGATTACAAAACTCATTCAACCTATTTAAATTTGGACGAGTTGAACAGAATATTTATGGGTCAAAATTGATGACCCTTGTTTCACCCCTCCAAAGCATACATTTTCTCAGCAAAATGCTGACAAAATATTATAAGTTGAACCATGGATATATTCATATTTGCCAATTTACAGCCAAATCTCACCACTAAGGCAAGGCAAAAAGCACAACACTGGAATTCGAGAACTAGATAAGAGACTGAAAAGGTGGCTGGTATAATAATCAGAGATAAAAACATTTGCAAATACCATATGTAATTCAATTCTGGACTGTAACCAAGCATTTAATTTAAGAATGATTTGTCTCAGCTACAACTCCAGCAGATACAACATTTCATGTGTACATTTCAAGGCATAAGTTAAAAAATACCATTCAGGCAGTGTGGATTTGAGACCATAACAAATTGGTACAAGACATCATTAAAATATCAAACTCTGAAGGAAAACTTTTGACACCAAAGCAACGGTCTTGCTTCTTGTTTCCCAGGCTTGAGGACACTGCCCATTACATTTATTGGGTGAAGCATTTGGTTCTTCTCCTTGCAAATTGACTTCTGCGGCATGGTCAGGAGAGGCAGGAGCCTGTTCTCCATTGTCATGGTCAGGAGAGGTAGGTTGTCCATTGTCATTGTTTTCTGGATGGAAATTAATGGGGAATTTCGTGACTCGGGGTTTATCAGCCAAAATATTCCTCTGGACCCTATCAAGCAAAACTTTCTGAGGTGGTTCCTCTTTTAATTGTTCATCATCGTAATCATTGTTCACATAATATCCTACTCGAATAAATTCTTGCCCCGCATAAGAGCATGTTAATAGCAATACTGTGACACCAATAATATCTTCTTCACGAATTTTGGATGGTTCAGGAGGATCAGCCTGCAAAGTGGTTTCAGCCTCAATTCCTCCAGCATAACAGTCAAGTGAGATTGCAAGGTTAAAGCGAGTAATAGTTACCTGAAGCACAAAACGATATTTCCCAACATTTACAGGTCCAACAAATACACTTTCTAGGAGTTGGTCATAAGTCTCATCCTCAGCAGATCCCACATAAGTTATCTTCCATTCTAAATCTAAAAAAAATTGAAATGGTCAACATTGGTGAAATAAGGTGATCCCTACTTATAACAATTAGAAGACTAGCGAAATCTGTCAGCAACGAACAACATTGTAATCTGAAGATCCAGAAAGAGAAAATCATTAAAGTTAAACTGAAATCTCCAGCTGCAAACAAGTAATATCCATTTTCCTTCCCCGATATACTAATGAACAAAGTTCAACAACAAAATGAATTTCACAGGATGAAGACAGTAGTACCTTAGTTAAACTATTTAAAGTCCCAAGGTCACAACTTCTTTTAGAGCTTCATCAATCACCACAAGCATTTCTTAGATCATTATCTGATTCATGATCTGAAATTGTCTTCTTATAGTATCCCTGCTTATAGTATAAAAGAAAAACGAATCCCTGTTTATAGTATGTCATGCTTAGTCAAAATGCTTTACCCCATATTTACTGTTCTCATGCAAGCAGTCTCATTTTTCAGTACATTCCTTTGCCTTTAGTGCGTATACATGCAGAAGGCACCTAATATTTGTATAGAAAACTAACTTAGCTAGTAATCAGGGGAAAATCCTTACTCTCTGAAAGACCAAATTCAAAGGTTTCAGAGTACATTCTACAACTAGCAAAGCAAAAAAATGGAACTCATGTGATTCCACTGTTCAGTTCACTATTTTAAAGAACTCTTAAAATGGGTATTGCGTCAACTGCAGTTGTGTCCCAGGAACCACGTTCCACGGCATATGTCACATTTGGTCTTTTCTCACTCTAATTTTCTCTGATGAGAAAGAGATGCACCCAAATGAATAACTCAAATGGTACTATAGGTCAGAGGCTCAAATTTTTTAATCTCTGGTATAAATTCCTAGCTCTACCACTACCTATGGCACATAGGCTCTAATTTCAATAGCTCACCCAGCAATTATTTCGAATTTTAATTCTTCAAGCTATATATGTATGTGTGTGTGTGTCTAAATCACCCTTGTTAAATTAAATAAAAAACAACATAATATAAACATATAGAGGCAAATATTGACTATATTACCATTGTTACACTACATGCATAAACTTTTGCTTAAATTTACCCGAAAACACAACAATTTTGACATCAGAATGGAAATTTAAGCAATGAAAATGAATAATTTTACCATCTTTAAGGGCATCGAGGCACTCATAAGAGATCTCGAACTGGAAAGGACTGAGAAACGGTGCCGGATTATCCAATACAGCAACGTTTGTAATGTTGACAGCGCTCATTCTTCTAGAAAATTCCCCAAATCCGAAACCCTAGATTGCTGAAAATGCTTTACTCAATGCTTCGAACGAAACCCTAATCGCTGCTGCAAATGAAAATACGAGCTCGCGAAAATTTTATTAGAAAGTTGTATAAATAAAGAGCAATTCAAAATTGGCGGGAGCTTTTGTAATTTCATTTTGTACTATTTGATAATAGCCCGCGAAAAATACTACAATGACTTGGTGGCCAAATGGACATTGAGTAATTTCTTGGCTTTTTGTTAAGTACTTTATAGTACAATTTTGCATTTTTTTTCCCTAACCAAATTGCTCCAATTTCTTTTTCTTTATTGCTTTAGGCATTCCGTGTGATCCATAGGTTACGAATTTAAGCGATGAAATCAGTCATTGATATTTGCGTCAAGGTTAACTGTCTACATTATACCTCTTAGGGTACGGTCAGAGTGCGAACCAGAATTTGAATTTTATGGGTTCTGAATTTGCCACAAGGACCCATAACTCATCTTAATTACTGGGTTCGCAATTTAAAATTTATATATATTTAATGAATTTTCTAGTACAAATACAATGCTTAAACAAAAGTGACTTGGTTTGGCTAAACCCACACCTTATAGGTTAGCTCCGTCTCTGGGTATAGTTCTTACATAATGTTTTGTGCACCGGACTGACCTTTTATTGCTTTAGGTATTTGGTATTTCGAATCACTTTGAATAGACTCACCAAGAGAGTAACACATTTCCTATCAAAAGTTGTTTATTCATAGGACTTGAATCTAGTCTTATTAAGGGTTAATGAATGTCAATCAATCTTACCGTACTTCCTGATAATAATTATTAGTACCTGTATTAAAATATAGTTTCTTCATTATGCATATGGCCAATACAAGTGTTTTCTTAGTTATTTGACCTTTTTCACAATAAAAACTAACATTTGAGATTGATCAAGTGTTCATATTGATCATTGTCAAGTTGGACTAGCTAGGTTCTTTCATTCTAATGCTTTCCATGTTTGGTATAAGAAGAATGATATGACTAGCTTAAATTATGACTATGCTCTTAATCCCATGTCTAGCTCAAATTCTTAATCACATGCACACTTTAGTCGATGTAATTTTCAATACAATAAAGATTTTTGAAATATATTATTTCTAACAAAATTTCAAATTCATGGCATAGTTGATTATAAGTGCATGCAATAAAACATTATACTACTGATGTTTCGCTTGGGATCTTCACAACTAAGGGTATCAAATGAGTGGGTTAGGTAATATTTGGACGAGTCAAATTAGAATTATGCCAATAGTACATGATTAATACTCCACCCCACTCCAAATTTGTTTGTGTCAAGATGAACTAAATTACGGGTCATACATGTTTGACCAAAAAACATGAAACTCTTTGTTAAACTAATTAAATAAAAAGATAAGAGATTAATCATAGTTAAAGATAATATCCCTAGATCTAAAATCAGTTTGTATGGATGACATGGGACCTCGTAGAAGTGAATTTAATGCAATACATAATAAATATTGTTGTTATTAATATGGTGAGAGCAAGTAATAAATAACAATAATTGACACTAAATGTAAATAAGGAAGAAGATTCACCCAATAATGAAAAAGGTGAATGATTCTTTCTTCTGACAATGATAAATGACAAGAATATGAGAGAATATTATACACTTTCTCGGGTCTGCTGGAAATGACAATAGATTGAATGTAAGGATCGAATCTCTCTCAGAAAGTAGTTCTTTGTATTTATCTAGAAAGCTTACTTTTCAAGAGTATTCTTATCAAATGGAATATTACCTGTCTTTTGCCTTATCTCTCCTACTATATATATGGAATATTCTCAAAGAACTCTAAAAGGTACAACAGAAGGAATATTCAATGGAATATTCCCTTTGAAAGTTCCAAAGCTATACTGGTCGCTATTTCTGTTCCTGCTACTTGACCTCGGCCTTGATGAGCCATTCAACGGCTTGTTCTTGTTAACCACTGATTGACCTCGGTCAAGCTGCCTATAATGAGTTACAATTCTCACAACAATCACCTTTTTGCACCGAATTTCCTCAGTCGGATTTTGACCCATACAGTTAGTCCATCCATTTATTGAGGTCGTCTTTTGGTCGACTTCAATGAGCGGACTTCATTAGTCGCAGTTTTGAGAAATTCAGATGGGGAGGTCGAGTAGTGATAATCCTGGCCGAGATGGTGATGTGGCGCTTTGAGAGCCACACTTAATGACGCTGGTTCAGAATGACATCACAGCCTCACACGCCATCATTACGCATCTTCCTGATGCGTTACATCGTTCCCTGTGTCCTTTTCGTTTTGATCCTAATGCACTTGATGGTTATTTTTCTCGATTCGTGCGCTAGTGTTCTCTATAAATAAAGGGAGGAAACCCTTTGAATGAAACTTTACACTTTCCAATCTTTTGAACTTGCATATCTTCTTCTTCTTCTTTCTGTATTCCTATTTTTAGCAACCTTTGCCAACATCACTTCTGCACTTTCAATTCCTTCACAAATACACACAACAAAATATGGCTAGTGCATCTTCCAACCCTAAGGGGACCTCTTATACGATTCTGTTGTCAGTGGTCATGCCCTCTTATGATGAAGGGGAAGCCATTGTTGTAGAGGATGAAAGCTTCCCCGCCGTAGAGGAACTCATTCTTCGTAATGATAGGGCCAGGTCGAACTTCTTGAAGTCGCATGCGGATGAGCCTGAGCCTGCGAAATCCGAGATGGAAGCAGCCCATCTTGCCGTGCTTAGGACCAAGTACAACATTCGCGCTCACTCGATCTGGTCCCAACTGGGATCGACGTGATCCATATTCATCATCCTGGGTATTGCGCGTTTTACGCGTACCCATTCCAAGTGAGCTATTCTCTCCCTCTTCCCCCGTTGGCGGAGAAATTCTGTCGCTATTATGGCATCTGCCCGATTCAGCTCTCCCTCTATATTTACAAACTCTTTCTTATGTTGATAAAGTACGCAGAGCTGGCCGACCGTGGGATTTCCATCCTCCATCTGCTGCATCTTTTTTGTGCCAAGCTTCCACAGGGGTACGATGATATATCTCCGCCACCATGGGACTAAGGTACTGGTGGTAAAAATGGATGATAAGATGAATCGTCGATTTTGGGTCAACTTTTTCCACATCAAAATCGAGCACGTGGTGGTGAACCATAGTGGATTCCCTAAGGAGTGGAACTTCGCCCATAAGTGTTTTTGCTAACTGATGGTTTGTTCTCTCTTCGGTGACTTGATCGTTCTTCTTTCTTTTTGTGTAGCCGAGAAGGATCCTCCTATGTTGGTCACCAATATTCGCGACTGGGTGGCTCAAATTTTGCCCCACACGGTGAGAATCCGTGAATGGTCGTTGTCCAACAAGAAGTTTGGACGTAAACCTTCTTCGACCGGTAAGTCAAGTTTCGATCTTCAGTCACTTCGACCCTAATACCTTCTTCTTTTTCACTTACATAGTTTTTCTTTGTTGTTAGGTCGGAGGGTTCTGAGGAAAGAGAAGGCTCCCATCCCCGCTTTTCGTCAATCGAGTACCTCGACCGGGTCTCTTCTTGCTGTGACCGTAGGCGAGTCTGCACAGACTGTTGCTTCTTCTCAGGCCCCGGCCCTGCATAGGCCTGGTCGTCGAGGGGCTGCCCCATCAGCGGAGACTATGACTTCTCTTATACTGTATTTGGTGGATGAGTCATCGCTGAGCGAATGGGAAGCAGTTTTGCTAAAAAGGCGGAGAGTAGAGGTCGACGGCGAGGCAGTAGGGCACGAAGAGCCAACTAGGGGCAATCCCAAGCCGGTCGCGATCACGCCCAAGGGTGGCATGTTTTTGGACGCAGAGACTGCTTCCCTTTCAAATGTGGAGATTGCTCTCTTGTTAGAGGTCGCCGTCGAAGGAGGAGGGCGATCAGAGGCAACAGAGGTCATTCTGAGGAGTGATCCGTCGACATCAGAGCGGGCTGACGTTCCTTACTCTGCCGATGAGAGGGAGAAAGGTGTGGCTGTAGATGACTATGAGTCTGATTCCGACATCGAACCCGAAAAGGAAAGGATGTTCAATAAGGGGTTTACCCGGGTCGAGGTGAGAACGGATGGATCTACTCGTTCTATAGTCATTCCCTTGGACTGCGACCTATTGATGAACATAGAGAATGTGTCCCTTCTTTGGTCCCTCTTTGCTCTGGCACCGAGAACAAAACTCTATAGTCATTTAAGGATGTCGATCTGTCGTTGTGCATATCCGGAATAGCTTTGAGGGTGAGTTTGTATTTTTGTTTTTATTGTTCTTATACCTTGCATCTTTTCTCCTTTTTATTTTTACTAACTCTTTTCGGCTCTTCCTTTTTCCCTTAGACTCTCATTTTGGATATCGAGAGTGCCCATTGAGAGGAGAAGCGGAAAATTATTTTCAAGAAAATTGTTTTGAAGTATCGCAAGTATCATGACAAGTATCGTGATATGCATGCCCGGTTTAGCGCGGACGGTAATTTCCAGTCCCTTAGAGATGAGTTGGAGCAGAAGGACGATGAGATCGTGAGGGTCATCAGTAGATACAGTGAGCTTGGAGGAGCGCTTAGAGCCAAGAAGGACGAGCTCGAAGTGAGCAAGGGGGTCATGGATGAGTGTGTCAACCTTCCAGCTCAAGTGGCGTCCCTACGGGGCCTATCTTGAGCAGAGCTCGATCAGAGCTAACGGCTTAAGTGATGAGTTGATCGAAAAAGCGGCAGAGTAGGAGAGGGCCGAGGAGGCCAGAGCGGCAGCTTTCGCGAAGGTGGCGCATTAGAGGATACCATCTGTGTCCTTAGATCTAAGGGGGCAAATGATGCGGAGACGACCGCACTCAAGGAGGTGAGGTTTGACAAAGGGATTGGTGGTATTGAGAAAGATATTTCGGACCTAAATGAGCATATCGCCGCTCTTGAGGCCGAAAAGGCACAGATACTGTCTCAACCGTCTTCATCTCATGCTTCCACTTATCCTGATGCTCCACGATATTTGTATGAGAAGTGGATTCATGTTGAGGCTCAACTAGACATATTCAGGGGCTTGACGACGACGGGGAGGGTTTCTGAGGCTGAGTTTGAAGATGTTCGTGCTAAGGCGCGCACA